AAATATCCATAATATCTTTTCTTCCTTTTGTAGTACAAAGTATTGGATAACTCATTCTTATAAGTACTGATTTTTTTTTCTTTTTTATCTTCAATTATTCACAGATTTTAGTGAGAGCGGGGAGCAGTCTAAGCGATCTAGGGGTCCCACTATGATGCACTCAGGATGGGGAAAAGATGGTGGCATTTTACATGTTGAGTTGAATGATCTTGGCCAACCTATTGGGCCAGAAGGATGTAGATTGAGTTCAAAACTTGGCGTCTTAGCACGAAATGGCATTTTAGCTCCATTAAATCATAAAGATTAGAGGCTTTTGCCTGGTCTCTACAAGAACAAGATATGGACAGATATAAAAGTGCTTAGAAAAAGAAAAAAATATTAAGATATTTATTATTTTTGTAATATTCTAATATAAATATGTTATATATTGATGTTTGTAGGAAAATACTGATGCAACTGAGGATATGAAGTGTATTTTGATGATGTCAGTTGGATCTAAATGGAGAGAATGGAAGCATGAAGCAAAAAGCAGTGGTTATGACTCATACACCAATGATGTTGAACGCTTAGCTAATCGTCCAGATAGGGTTGAAGAAGATCAATGGCGTGCACTAGTACATTATTGGAGCTCAACTGATGCAAAGGTATTCTCTCATCATCAATCATCTTCTGATATGACATGGAGTTTAGACTATTCTCTAATGGGTTGAGTTATATCTAACTTTTTCAGAAAAAGAGTGAGAGGAACAAAGAAAGTCGGAAGAAGTTGACTATGCCACACACATCAGGAAGAAAGAGTTATTCTCAAATTATAGATAATGTATAACATAATCATTATTTACTTTCTACAATTATATACTAATGCACGTTTTTAAAATATTTCTGTTTCAATCTCTTACAATTCAAACAGATGACAAAGGAGAAGGGTGTAAAACCAACTCGTATAGATGTGTTCAAAAAAACACATACGAAAAAGAACAATGAACCAATAAATGAAGAAGCTAGTGAAGTTATGGTAAATTCTCATTCTTTATAAATGTACGGTACTTTATTCCATCAATATTTTGTTAACTATATCTTGCTTTACTTTTCTTTTATAAAGAAAGAAATGAATGATCTTGCTAAGGTATATCCTGAGTTAAATGTACCTGCAAGTGCTCCAAATGATGTGTACTCACAAGTAATGGGGCCAGACACTCTTGGAAATGTCCGAACTCTAGGAAAAGGAGCAGCTCCAAGTTTTGTTTATGGCCCATTATATAAGCGATCCCAAAATGAGCAAAGAGATTTTGATAAAAGAGTTGAGATAGAAGTTCAAAAAGTAAACCTCTACTCTGAAAATTGAGATGGAGGAAAAGTTGTTTGAAGCGAAAGAAGAAATTGAAGTGATGGATAAGAAGTTATCGAAAAGCAGAGGAGGATATGGAAATGATGAAGAAAAAATTATCTGAAGCAAATATGAATATGGAAGAAAAAATAGATGATAAAGTAAAAGCAGGGATACTAGCATATGTAGATTCTTTGGGTATTACTCTTGGCTCAAATAGAAAATCGTTTAGTAATGAGCAGGTAAATAAATGTGTTCACAAAATATTCATTTTAGGAAGTATTGTTATTTGGTTTTTAAAAATATAATATTCTGTCTCTTTTGTGATAGGTTTCTAATAAATTTATTGAAGATCGCCAACAATCATTATCGCCCGATTCAGTTGTTGACCCGAAAAAGGTGAGTTGTAGCTTTGTTTTGATTATATCTTTGCGTAATTATACTACAATAGCTTGATAAAGTATTGGTACCCTAGCCATCAGGATGAGGACTCTTATTGCAATCAATCTGAAATTCGACTGTCGTAACATCTACCTCAGTAAATGGTTTTAACAATTCCATTTGCTGACTTGTGGACAAAACTGGACCATTCAGTAAGAGGCTAGTTAACGTTTTAACTCTATAGGTGGTTTCTGTATCTAGAAGAGTCTTGTAGTAATTAACAAATATGTTAGCTATAATGGCCTGATCTGTTTGCCGAATTCTTATTCATCCTTCAACTGAGTGGTAGCATGTTTTAAACTTTTGTTATTTATAACTGAACAGAAGTACTTAGTATTGTCATTGCCAAGCCTAGTCCATGTTGTTTTGCTCTTCTGTTGTAAATAATTTTTAGCCAATTAAGATGATTGTCGAAATTTTTTGTACTTCTTTTTCTCCTATTCTTGAAATTCAACCTTTAATGTATCTGATAGTAGTTGATAGTAGTAGTTCGTGAGCTTACTTGAGAGCCTTTCGATCCTCATAGGATTCAGTTACATTAATCTTGAAAGCTTGAGCATTTAACCTTTCAAGCTTCTCTTCAAGTTTTTCAATCTCCTTACAACTTGTAACATAGCACATTCTTGTATATGCACATTCCATCATGTTGCAATCTTTTCGTAGGAAGGATCTCCTGACAATGTTTGATTTTAAAGCTAACTCGAGATTGCTCAAAGCCATTACAATCATACAATCAGCTAAGCCATCTTGTATCAAAGTTGCGATATAAAAAGGAGAAGAATGTGATTCACATACTTGGGTAGTATCATTCCAAAATAAAGCTAGACCTCTTGATAATCCTATCGGCTCCACAGTTGTAGCGTGCACCATATTTACTTGTCTTTGTACCCTCTTAACCGTGCTTCCTCTGTTTTTTGTTTCACTTAAGAAAATCATACTTGGAGAGTGAAGATGCATTGTTTCCAGTCTATCCTTTTTTCCCTTCATTCTGATTGTCATTCCTTAGTTTCTTAAACTTATTATTTTCATTGCAATGTTCAAATGCTAACGACTGAGATAAGCACTCAGAATAAGCCTCAAAAGCAGAAATACATACCTGATCTTTTGTTCCAGCTTGTATGGTATTGATTCCTTTATGACCTTCGATTTGATTAGCGATTATGATACCCTGGTTAATATTTTCTGTCAGGTCCTTTGTATTCATCTGGGCAGCATCTTCATTTTCCTTTGTTGTGGCGTCATATGTATTATTATCAAGTGGTAGTTTTGAGCACTTATCCTCCTCCCCCTAATCAATATCCAAAATTTAGGTCTTATTAGTAACAGAAGTTCCCCCTTCTGATTCATAAGGTTCTATCTCCATATATAGGCTGTAATTGGTTTGATTCTTTTCTGTGCAAGGTATCCTCCTCATTTTCCTTAAGACCTGCAGTTTCTTTGCATTCATTTTGACATAATATATGGGCAATATCTTTCTTTATACCCATGTGTGTATTAGTCGAGTCAACTCCTTGTATGTGTATCAATCTTTTTCCAGTTCATACATCTCTTTTCTCCTCAATTAACTTGGAATTTTTATTCTTCATCAGATTATGCCCTTCAGTACTATGTACTTCTTCATGTCTTTGATAATCTGCGGAAGCCAAATGATTCTCTGCTTTTATCCATTCCCCAAACTGATCCTTTTTTAGTGTGTTTGACCGTATATCCCAACTGTTGCAATCTTCTACTATATCTGCCCATGATTTGTGTCCGCTGCTTGTGGGGGGATGATTTCCAGTAGTCGTTGAAGCCTACAAAACAACATTCCATTGTTTTTGTGCTTCAACTTTTGAAATTTGTCCATCCTTATTCCTTTGCTTTACTGTTTTATTAATTTCTCACCTGATATTAACTTCCTCTTGGATACGATTGTAGATTTTTGCTTCTGTCCTTGATGAGTGTTTCCCTGAGTGGACTGTGCTTCTGTGATAAAAAAAAATTGGGTCAAAAATATGTCACATGGATGCCTTAGAAATTTTCCTTCAAGGAGCAGCTGGACACAACTAGTACATTCCATAATCACTGTTACTCGAACATCTTTCCCTTGGCCATGAACCTCCTTTCAATTTATTATTCACTCAACTCTCACTAACAATAAAAAATTTAAATTGCCAATGGATTGCTTAGATAAGTTTCTAATGATAATTGACTAATTAGTTAAGTGACTGGTACTCTGTTTCTTAATTTTTTGATAACAAACTTTGCCCAGGCCTCAGTTTAAATCCTTTTGCATCTGCCTCCTTCTCCTCATTAACTTTTATTTTCTCCAAAATTCTACAATTTATCATTGAGTATCCTAGCTTCTTACAATGCTTGCAATACTTGAGAGTAACTACATCTATTTTATTTTATAAGATAGTACTATAAGGGATGACATTTATTTAGCCATTTACCTCTCTAACAGATTTGTTAAGTTTTGTATTTTTTAAAGTATTAAATTAAACAATCTAATATTTCTTCTCAGGAAAACACGGTCCGGAAGACGGGAAGAAATTTTGTATTTTTTAAACTATTAAATTAAACAATCTAATATTTCTTCTCAGGAAAACACGGTCCGGAAGACGGAAAGAAGTGCAATTGGCCAAGGAAAAAAAAGTGGGTAAGTCGGAAAAAATTACAAGACAACATTTTTTGGAGAAAAATCTATAATTATTGTTATTTCATTGATTCTTCGATCGTTTGTTGTAGAGAAAAATATTATTTTTAATTCACAATTTGTTCTGGTTAAAAAGGAAATAATTTCATTTATTCATAATTCTTTTTTTTATGTGAATTTTTTGTACAGAGTTTTTGAAGGGGAACGATTGAGGTGATCAATTACTAGCAACAAGATACTTGACCTGTGGATTGATGGTTTTACAAAGCTATTTCACGTTTTATTCAAGAAATTAAGAGATCTAATCCAATTAGGAGTTGATAAAATGTGAAAAGCAGGTGGTTTTGAAATTATTAGCTTCTAGTTATATTTCAATTTTACTTGAGATAGAACACATTATTTACTTTGAGATCATTTAACTTTTACTGGACACTTATTATATTGCTACTTTGCTATTTGATTATATTATTAAAATTCATTTGATTTATGTATAATTTAAATTTGTGTCAGAATAAAAATTATATAGAGCTTTAGTATTGATATTTTAAAAAAATTGGTGCTGCTATTAATCTAAATAAAGAAAAATTTAAAGAAAATTTGCAAAATATTATTTAAATGTCACTAATTTTTACGACATTTAACATTTTATATGCTGACATTGGTTAAAATGTCAAAATTTATTGTGACATTTTATATTACCCCAAAGTAAATGTCGTAAAGAAACTTTTATCAACATTAATCAAAATGTTAGAAATTTAAAGTGATGTTTAGTAAATGTCAGAGATTTCTTATCCACATTTACCGAAATGCAGAAAATAAATGTCGTAAATTCCTAATTGACGTTTCTCTAAATGTCACAAAATAAATGTCATATATTTACTATCAACATTTACCTTAATGTTGCTAAATGAATGTCGTAAAATTATTGTTGACATTTATCTAAATTTCATATTGACATTTACCTAAATGTCACAAAATAAATGTCATAAATGCTTAACGACATTTAGGTAAATGTCGGAAATTTCCCGACACTGAAATAAATGACATTTGATCCAAATGTAAAGTTGGTTATGATTTGGGTAGTTGAGGTTTATGAAGTATATGAGGTGTTTAATAGTTTAAAAGTACTTATATAAGTCTAAATAATCAATATAAAATGACCTCACTTCAAACTAACCTCATAAGGAATTACCTAATTTGCCCCTCCCTTGGCCGAACCTAGGTAACTTGTTGCAGGCATGACCTACGCCTGGGACCTACAATCTGTAGGTTGGCCTACTGGCTGTCCTATAGGTTTGTAGGTCTGTAGGTCATGACCTGCAGCTCAACATTGAGTACTTGACCCACGACCAAGAGCTACGGGGTGTGGATGGACCTACACCCACTAGGTCCCATCCGTAGGTGACTAATAAGGCAGTTTTGGGGAAGTTTTGGGGCAGCTTTGGGGTTAGACTTTAGGGTCCTCCTCATGGACCCTTGGTTGGTCCTTGGGGGATCATACATTGATGTTTAACCCCTAAAACCCTCATTCTAAGTTTGGGAAATGCTTTTACAACATTAAACAATACATCAAACTAAAAAGCTCTCACGTGAGGCTCTAGTTTCACCTACTAGTTTTTCAAGGTGTAATAGTCATACCCTTAACTGTAATAAAATATCAAATATATGTTAGTGACTCGACAATCCCCGAATCAACATAGAGCTCACCAAAGGCAGCTAAGTATCTTATGCGTATCTTGGACAGATCCTATTATCTTGAGTACAGGTACCTGTGGCATGCAACACAGCTTCCCCATGAGGGACGTCAGTATAAAAGAATGTAATAAATATGTAAAGCATAAAGTATCCATAGGTTAATCAAGAGCTCAAGTAAAATTATGTGTCAATTTATAAATTCATAAATAAGGATGAAAGACCACCTTTGCTTACTCTTTTGGGGTATTGAGTACCTTACATTCTTTGCTTTACATTACTCTTCTTTTCTTTAAAAACTTTGTAGAATTCGATACGATGACCAGCTGATCAGGGGTAGAAGAGGATGACCCATGCTAGGCATTTTAAACCCTAGGATGTTGTCCTCATACATATACAAATTAGGATTGTCCCATGCTAGGTATTATAACCCCTGAGCTGCCACCCGTATATATATATATTATATATATATATATATATATATATCAATTAGGATCAGCCCATGCTAGGTATTTTAACCCCTGAGCTACCACCCATAAGTATACAACTTTGCTTTTAAGATTGACCCATGATAGGCTTTTAGCCCCTGAGCTGCCACCCATAATAATACATATTTGCTTTACGTCTTTTCTTTAATCTTTGAGATTGTTCATAATTCTTTTGAGCTTTGGGTCTATAGACCAGTGATGTAAACAAGTGAATAAAAGACTTGAGGCAACAATAATGATATAAGAAACAAATGTAACATCAATGTAGTAATACTTAGTATTTTATATAACACAATGAATCTTATTGGGCTAAAACATGAATGTAAATGGGCCATGAAGACACACAACAAGAGAGAACATGAGGACATGTAGAAAATGAGTCATTAAGTGGCATAAAAAGTGAGCAAGTGATTCTACTAGCACATGGTTCATTTAGAACACATATGGACATCTCAAATGGAGGCATACATGTATTTCAAATAAAGACTATAACTCCTCAAATGGAGAGGTGAGGAGTGCATATGATGATACGATAGCTACACACTTAGTACACGATATCAAAGGTAAGGGTGAATAAACATGTGAACTAATGAAGCATAGGACAGATCGCAAATAAGGGTTGCACATTCCACGTAAGGACATATAAAATTAATAATAGACATAATGTGTATCTGCCATACAAATACTTGTAACAAGTATAATGTAGGATCTTATTGACTCAATGATCCTCATTTGACTTGGTGGATAACTCATGGAATTTTCTGTTTAGAGTACCTTTGTCATAATAATACTTTAAAGTATAAACACACCAATATTGGAGAATGAACATGCATAGAAGTAGCTTGACACATTTTTGAAACCATAGACGGTATGAGGGAGATTATTACTTTTTGGAGACTATGCACTCTCACATTGTATCTTTTACCATGAGGATGTTTTAGAGATCTCACTTGGTTGGTACACAGAATATAGGACTTCATGCCATAAAATATGGAATCAAATAGCCTTACATACCTTGTCTCCCGACCAATACTATGTGGTACCATGAATCAGCCTTTCCTTTGAGGCGTTAATCTCCATTAATGGAAAGTAATAGAGCTAATATTAACAGCTAATAAACAAGGTTGGATCACTTCGACTTACCAAAACTGTAGTCGGGCAGCAGGCTCAAAACCCTTCTTCTAATGGGTGTTCTTTTCACTAATTCCTGTATCACCATGTTTACACAATTTATGACCTCCCCATGAGGTCATCCGACACAACCTGGGAATTACAACATCCAAAACAGTAAATACACACCTAAGGGGCAGCACGCCCACATAACCCACAATTCAAATGGTGTATCTTCATTTCTTCCCTAAAACATTTCACATGACTTTCTCTTACGGCTAGCCAATATTACAAATTATAATCTACAAATTATATTGATTACATCACAATTGGGTCAATAGGTCATGTAATGGACCACTACAAAATTATGTCGAACACCTAGCGAGCTTAAAGCTCTACAATTCATAAATGGTGTTTCAACACCCAACGGCCTCCTACTTACAAACAGCATTCTCACTACCATATATAGGAATAAAACCATGCCCTTTACCATTAATGAACCCAACCATCCACCCAGTACTTCTCCAAACTTCACCACGTATAGACAGCCCCAACCTTTCTAAAATAATCAATAAAACTTTGACTCACTGCGTTCGATCATTTTTTCGTGAATTTGTAGTAAAACACGTAGAGAAATCTCACCCAATCTTGTGTATATATATATATATAGTGAGACAAAATGGGGCAGTAACCATACCTCAAATTTTGGAAAATTGTTCGCTTAACTTGTACTCCTTCAAGAGTTTTAATTACCCTTCACACTTGAACAAAATAAGAAGAGAAACTCTCTTAATAACAAAGAAAACATGAGCAGACAACTCAGGGAAAGGTCTGCACCATATTTAAACATGAAAAACATGAAATCTCATGGAACAATCAACCTAAACCATAAGGTTTCTACTTACCTTAGCTGGAAATTAAGAGGGTTTCTTCAAGAACCCATGAAGTATTTTTGAGGTGGTTGTGATAATCATTGAGGGAAAGAGAGAGTGCTGGAGATAAATTTCTTTTTTTTATGTAAGAATTAAGAGATAAATTATCCAAATATGACCCTATAATTGTTGGCACTCCACCGCCTCTATCTTCTTTATTTTAACCACAAATTGCCAAGTAGGTGATCCACCTACTTAGCATTTTTAAGCTGCTCAAATGTCAAACTAGGTGATGCAACTACTTCTTCTTATTAAATCTATTTAGCTATGGCAGGTGATGCAGCTACTTACTCTTATTAAGTTGGTCAAAAAGTCTAAGTAGGTGATGCACCTACTTGTCACCTACTAGCTTAATTTAGTCCAGCAAGCACCTCACTTATTTTTATCTCATTTTCCAAATTCTAATCTTTTAATTTAATATTTACACTCAACTCTAAAGTTTAAGCTTAATAACCACCTTACTTCTCGAGTTTAAATACTTTCATCAGTATTAACTTAATCGTATACATGTTGAAATGTACGGGGTGTTACATGAGAATTCATAGATGATCTTCTATAATTGATGACATGTATAGTAATTGTTCAAGAATAAAAGCATGTAGACATGAATTGAATTAGAATAATGTACATGTGATGGATCATGACTAGTAAAGCTTAAGATTGAACCTTTATGATGATATATGACTAGAATTGCTTAAAAATGAAGCATGTGACTAGAATGTCTTGTGATCTAGGTATGTATGATGATTGTAAGAAGTAAAGCTTTGAGAGTAAGGCTTGTAGTCATGAATGTTGATTACTAGGGATTTAAAAGTAAAGCCATTATGATGAATTATGTATGTTAGGGCTTTAAAGAGTGAAGCTTATATGATAATGGTAGACTACTAGATAGAGTTATTGTGGAAGGACTTTACCCACAGGCCTAGATTATGAAAGTATGAGATTATGCATGTTCTTATAGAACCTATGTAAATGCTTTATGAACACTTTGAGAGTGAAGTGTCTATGATTGTGATATGTAGATGTGTGGATTGAAAGGCTATTCTCATGAACACATAATGAACATAATGTGAAAGGTTTTCTCACATAAAATGATTCTAGGTTGAAAGGTTTGCTCACCTAAAATGAATCAAGCATGTTAGACTAGAATAGCTTGAAGTTGTGACATAAGATTTCATGAATAGCTTGACTTGGTAAGATAAGACCATTTCATGGTAGCTTGAGTATAAGACGTCATG